TCTTCTCTACACACACACACACACACACACACACACACACACACACACACACACACACACACACACACACACACACACACACACAGCGGGCGCCGTATTGTCGACTGTGCGGACTGAAGGGCCACACCCGATCCCGATGCATGCACGAGTGCTGCTTCAACTGCGGATTTCCAGGCCACCGCACAAAGGTGCTTGTGGCGTAATGGCTGTTTGTGTCTGTCTTGCGTCGCTCACCTCGACTCGACACAGGGGCGACGCTTCATCGCAACGCACCCTCTTCCTAAATGCTCTCTCGAGCCGTTGTTCACCAATACCGGGACATGTGCTCGTGCCAACGCTTACACACTGACATTGTACATCTCTGTTGTTGTGCGTGTGGATGCAAATCTCTCCCTCTCTCTCTGTGCTGTCATGTATATGAATTTGTCGTTTTGGCTTGTTGTCACAACGCAGAGCTGTGACCTACCAACCAGCCGACACCACACGCGCTGCAAGCGCTGTTCACAAAGCGGCCACCTTGAATGGGTGCGGGAACCACGTGTTTGCATGTTTGCGTGCCTGTGTGCGTGCGTTTGCATATTTTGTGCCTGTGTACGTGTGTACGTATGTGTGTGTACGTATGTGTGTGTACGTATGTGTGTGTATGTGTGTGTGTGCGTGTGTGCATATTTTGTGCGTGTGTACGTGTGTGTGTACGTATGTACGTATGTGTGTGTGTGTCTGTGGGCATCGGCGCTTGTTGCTGCGAGACATGCATTCCGACCACTCACACTGCTTGCGCGTGACTGCAACATCAGAAATGCTCGGACACGTGGCGCCAATACGCCGCAATCCAGGTACAGCAAGCAGCAGCAACGGCACCGACGACACGGTCAACTTTCAACAACTCAAGTCACAGCTGAACAACAACCTCACCCGTTGTTGTTCTGTTCCCCACTTGTCTCAACACACAACGTAGCGCTTCGCTCACTCACCATCATTCTCAACACCACCCACCCACCACCACCACTTCCTACCACCACCACCACCACCACCACCACCACCACCACCATCACTGGGTGTGCAGTCTGAGCGCGATCTTGAGAAGCGGCTTCGCCCGGCCATCGGCCACCGCTCCGTGCGCTTCTGCTGCCACTGCGGCGAGGCAGGCCATCTCGTCCACGTACGTCCCTTGTCACTGTGAAGCAGCGCAGCCTTATGTTTCGCACACCGTTTAGCCTGCTTATACGCCGTCCTTGACTCACACATGATCAAGCATAGTTTACACAGAGTGACACTCATCGTTCCACGTGTAGTTGCACACAGCTACACACCGGCACTCACTCACCTGACACCCCTCCCCCTCCCCAACACACACGCACACACATTGGCCCATGTACACCTCACAACCAGAGCTGTCCAGTCCCGCGCCGCGATTCTGTCCGCGTGAGCGTCGTCGTCCCCACCTCATACGACTTTGCAGGCTCAAGGTACAAACACACGCGCACGCAATCGTTGCTGTTGTTTGACAAGTGTGTGTGTTGTGTGTGTGTGTGTGTGTGTGTTTTGCAAGCTGCATTTACTTGTTCTTCCTCACCGTTCAGCGCGATGCTCACGTGTTCCTCTTCCTCACCCACCCCCAAAAAAACACGGTTGTCGTCGTTGGCTCCCAGTGCGTACTTTACGTCGCTTCCGTCATCATCATCGTCAGCATCATCGTCGTCGTCGTCGTCGGGCAAGCGTAAAGCGGGCAGTGGTGATGGACACACGATGAAGCGCAGCAAGCGTGGTGGCGACGGGCGCGAGGAAGGCGGCGTGACACGATACGCGCGACGCGTGTTTGAGGGCGCAAAGAAGCTGATTGGGAGAGGCAAGAAGGGAAAAGGCAAGCGCGATGGCGAGGCAGGGGAGGACTCTGCCAACAAGAGCAGCAGGAAGAAGAAGGACAAGAAGAAGAAGAAGAGGGAGGGTGGCAAGGGAACAGACGAGAGGCAACAGCGCGGCAGCAAGCGAGGGGATGCGAGAGCGCCTGCGAAGCGCAAGAACAGCAACAAGAAGAACAAGCGCAGCAAGCAGGCGAGCAGTGGCGATGGCGGCCGAGTGGTCACCATGGGCGGCGGATTCCGTCACTCACGGAAGTAGCACAGGGCACCAGGCGTGTGTGTGTGTGGTTGTGTGTGGTTGTGTGGGTGTGTGGTTGTGTGGTTGTTGTTGTAGTTGTGTGTGATTGTGGTTGTGTATGTGTGTGTGTGTGTGGTTGTTGGAAGGCTCTTGAGGTCAGGTTGGCGAGAGCGAGGTGACCGTTGAGAGGTGGGATTTTGTGTCTGCTTCGGAGGTGTGCGAGCATAGGTTGCTTCCTTTTACTGCAGCAAGTAAACAAAGAAACCAATGCCAACATCCACAAAGGTAATCCGAGCAATACACACAAGTAGAGTGCACAAGCAGCATCAAGTAGATGAACAAGCAACAAACAAACAAACAAACAAACAAACAAACAAACAAACAAACAAACAAACAAACAAACAAACACACCCCCTTTGTCATGTCTTCTTCTTCATCATCATATCAACAACAGTGTCCGCGTTGGCTTCAGTCCTCAGCCACGTCCTCGTAGGTGGCCGCCACAACCTCATACGCCTGTGGCGTGAGCACCCTATTGTCGGCGTAGAAGGACGCAAATGCTTCGCGCATGTTGGCTGGCAGGCGACGCTCCAGCCGCCGCAGCACACGGCTCGGCGAATCTGCAATGTCGCGGCGGAGATGCTCGCACTTGAGCTCGTGATACCGCTGGTTCGACGGCGACAGGAACGACGCCGATGCATCCCGGGCGTACTCCTGGTGTTGCTGGTGTTGTTGGTGTTGGTGTTGCTGGTGCACGGGTGTTGCGTATTGCGAGTCGTGGTGGCCTGCAAAGCGGTGGTAGAGGCGAGGCGCGTGGTGACCGTTTCCGTTTCCGTTTCCATTGACGTGGTGTGGCGGTGCGCCAGGCAGCGGCGACGTCGGTGCAGACGGCATCGGGGAGTGTGCGGCCATGTGCAGCGGGTACGCGGCAGCGTGGGCCGCGTTGGCGGCTGCATCGTGGGGATTGCCTGCTCCGTTCTCCACCAAGATGGCGACGATGCTGCCAATGATGGCGAGGAGGATGCCCAGGCTGTAGTCACTCGTGCCGAGGGCAAAGGCAATTGCACCAGTGCCCATGAGGAACACACGCAGCCCGTTCATGGCGCTCTCCGACGGCGGGCCAAGATACGCAGCAACCACGACCGACAGCAGCGCCGCACACACGGCAACCATGAACGCGGTCTCGTAGCCCTCCTGCAGCGTGATGGTGTTGAAGACAGTCTCCCACACGGCGCCCCACAGGACGGAGTCGACGGACAAGCCGAGGCGCAGCGCAATGAAGGTGACAACGCTGCCCAAAGCGCCAAACACATATGCCAGGCGGTTGCCGAAGGTCTTGCGAAGGAACAGGAACACGAAGATGAGGGCCGTGAAGAAGATGGCCATGGACGTCAGCGTATAGTAGACGGTGAGGCGGCGAGACAGTCTGGCTGCGTTGACGACCAAGAACGCGCCCGCAAACATCAGGAACAGCCGGCCCAGGGATAGTTCTGTGTCGAGAAGACGTGCAGAGGTGGGTGGAGGGGGGGGGGCAAGGTGGAGAAGGCGGGGTCAGGGGGACGGAGCAGCAACGAGTGAGCATGTGTGTGTATGCGAGTGTGTGTGAATGTAAGTGTGAGTGAGTGTAAGTGTGAATTGTAAGTGTGAGTGAGTGTACGAACACATGTCCATGCTTTCATGCGTCTTCAAGATCAAGTTGGGAATTGTGCGGACAGCCCGAAGTGGAGCGTGAAACTGCTGCCCCAATCCAGTTCCACAATGTGCCATCCAGCACCACCGCAACCAGAAAAGCGGCAGCAGCAGCAACAATAACAACAGCGCTACGTCCAGTAGCTCCTCTGAACAGCTCATCGGCGACAACCTCAAACACACACACACACACAATTACACACAGAATCATACACACGCACACCTGTCCGAGTGGCAATGTAGTCGGCGTTGAAGACGCTGAGGTGGGTCTTGGAGAAGGGGTTGACGGTGACTTGAACCGACGACACGTTGGTGAATGTCCTGCCATTGGCCAGGGTGATGGAGCAGCTGCCACTGGCCGTCCCGGCTTGCACGATGGTGTTGGATGCCAGCAGCCGGAAGCTGGTGAGCACGTTGGTTGGCTTGCGGAACAGCAGCGGTTCGCCCAGCACGGCCACGTCCACAGCCTTCTTCCATCGCTGCAGCACGATGCGGTCGTTGACCGCCAGATTCAACGCCTTCTGCGTCTCCGCCGCCACATCGGCCACATCCGTGCTCCCCTTTGCACCCAGCGCCACCACCAGCACCACCAGCACCACCAGCACCGCCGACACCAGCGAGCGTGCACACATCGTCCTCATCTTGCTTGTTTGTTTGTGGTGAGTCAGTCAGTGAAACGAGAGACGCACAAAAAGTGGACAACAACAACAACGAACAACAACGACGAAGACGAACGCATGGGGTTGCACGTGGAGGTGGTTGGTGGGTATGGGACGGAGGTTGATCCGGCTGTGGTCATCTCCACAGGCACCCGCGGCCTCACACGGCCCATTTATCTCCTCAACGCCCCTGAAGGTGTGTGTGTGTGTGTGTGTGTGTGTGTGTGTGTGTGTGTGTGTGTGTGTGTGTGTGTGTGTGTGTGTGTGTGTGTGTGTGTGTGTGTGTGTGTGTGTGTGTGTGTGTGTGTTGTGTGTGTGTTGTGTGTGTGTGTTGTGTGTTGGCTTGTTTGCTTGCTTTGGTTCCATTGGTTCCATTGGTTCCATTGCTGCTTTGCTTTGATCCCATTGCTCCACAAATGAAGATCCAGCACAGCGACACCCAGCAGCAGTGGCAGCCCGCAACAACAGTAGTACCAGCATCATCATAATCATCATCATCATCATCATCATCATCATCATCATCATCATCAACAACAACAAGCAGCATCTGCAACGTTGATCTCTCGTCACCTTCACTCACCCCACTCGTCTCTGCTTGTTGTATGCGTCCAGGCTTGGCGCGCGTGGCATTGGAGCATCGCGTGTTGCGACCCATGCGCGGGTTCATCTCGGGCGTCTTTGCCATGGGCACCACCAGCAACTGCCTCGGCGACGTCCCCAGCGCCATCCTCAGGTGCGTCTGTGCGTGCGTGCGTGTGTGCGAAAATGGGCGACAAGGGACGAGAGACCTACAAGCGAGCTCTGCTTGTTCCTCTCTCACAGGCCATGTCAACGAACATGTGCGTGTGCAGGACGGCTGCTGACGGCGCAGACCGCGTGCAGATTGTTGGCCCACCGTCCACCATTCAAAGCCTGCTGGCACTGCGCCATGTGATGCTTTGGTCACATCCAACAGTCTTTGTATCAGACATCCCAGGTATGCACGCCTGTTGCGCGTGCGTGTATGTGCGCATGTACGTGTACACATATGTGTGTGTGTGTGTGCATTTCAGTGTGTGCTCGTGCGTCAGTAGGTGCGCGCATACGGTCCTGATGGCACATATTGAGGCTAGCATTTGTTCATGCAAACGTATGTGCGTGCCCTGCAACATGCAACAGACACACGCATGTGCTTTGCGGACGAGCACATTGCCGTGCGTGCCGTGTGCCTGCCCGCAGTGCGTGAAGAAGACAACGACACCGACACAAGCAGTAGTGGCAGTAGTGATGATGATGATGATGATGATGACGACGACGATGATGATGACGAGAGCAGCAGCGATGAAGATAAAGGAAGCAGTGACAGCGACGATGTTGGTGATGATGACGGCGACACGTCATCTGAGGAGACCTCGTCTTCCAGCGAAGAAGAAGCAGACGAAGATGACAGTCATAGCGAGAAGCCGGCCAAGAAAGAGGTGCCACCAAAACCAAATCAGCCAGCTGCGCCCTCAGCTGCGCCCTCGTCCTCCCCGTCATCATCGTTATCAGCACGAACAGCAAGTGCAGCGACTTCAAGCAGAGCAACCGCTTCAACACCGACATCACGTGTGAGCAACGACGTGAAACCCGCACCAGAGGTGGCTCCATCGTTGTCGCTGTATGTGCGCGATTGGGACGTGTACCCTCGCACCGTGTTCAAGAAGCCAACCACAAACCACCTGCAGCCGTTGCCTCAGTTCCAGCAGCCACCACCAGCGTGTTGTGTCTCGTGTGAGGCGTTGTGGCCGCGGCCCGTGGTCGGCTACACGGTTATGACTGCGTCAACAGGGCAGCCTCGCATCATCGCTCTCAACATTCCGTGCACACACGTCCTACAGCACTGCCAACCGCGCCGCATTCCTAGCCTGTGCGTGTGATATGCGTGTGTGCGTGTGATATGCGTGTGTGCGTGTGATATGCGTGTGTGCGTGTGATATGCGTGTGATATGCGTGTGTGCGTGCGTGTGATATGCGTGTGATATGCGTGTGATGTGCGTGTAATATGCGCGTGCTTGTGATGTGCGTGTTGCTAACTGTACATGTACTGTGTGTTTCAACCAGGTTTGGACTTGAGGGCCGCTCAGCCACCGCACACGTTCTCGTGTTCCACTTTTCGCCTCCACAGGTCGTTTCTACATGAGTGTGTGTATGTATGGACACATGAGCATGCGCCTGTGCGAGTGTGTGTGCTTATGGGTACCAGCGTGAGCGTGTGTGAGAGTGTAAATGATAGACGGCACACGTTCTGAAACAGCCGCGCAATTCATGCCATTACTCACATGCTTTCACTGCTTTGGGCGGCTTTTCGTCGCATCCTCCTCTTCTCCCTGTACCCATGGCATGCTTGCTGCCAATCAACCCTGCAGCTTCAAGCAACACCGGCGTACGCGCAGATCACCACTGCACTCTCCAAATTCGGCTGTCGTCACATCAATTTGCACCAGCCGCTTCACTCCCAGCACATGTACGCACGCTCTGTGCGTGTGTAGTGTGTGAGTGAGTGAGTGAGTGAGTGAGTGAGTGAGTGTGTGAGTGAGTGAGAGTGAGTGAGTGAGTGAGTGAGAGTGAGTGAGTGTGTGAGTGAGTGTGTGAGTGAGTGAGTGTGTGTGTGTGTGATTTGTGTGAAGGTGCGCTCGCTCACATGCATCTTTTATGCCCTTGCACAGATGTGAATTGCATCCAAGCTCAGCGCTGCTTCTCCAAACCATTGTGAGTCGTCAACCACAACAGCATGATGCGCGCGTGCGTGTGCATGTGTTTGTGTATGTTTATGTGCGCGTGCGTGATTGCGCGTGCGTGTGCATGTGTGCACACATGCAACTGTCCCCACCTCACTTGTACAATCCACCACCTCATCTCTCAATTTCACCATGCGCTGCAGGCGACGAAACGCGAGCGAGTCCATCAAGACGAACCTGAATTGTATCCAATTTGCGAATGCACACGCTCTCCACTTCCACTCACTTGCAGGTGTGTGTGTGCAGGTGTGTGTGCCCATGTTGTGTTGTCGTGTGCCTCCGCCTTGAAGCCCGCCATGTGCCCCTTATACCGCCTCGAAACTGCATGCAACAGCTCTGCGCCCCTGCCGCTGTTCAAATCCATGTCCGTCGAATCTGTCCTCTCCAAGTTGAGTGCCACATCGGTCCCCGATGCCGTGTGGTGAGCGGGTCACTGGCTGCCATGTCTGCTGGTGTGCACGGATATGTACATGTGTGTGCATGTGCGTGTGTGCGTGTGCGTGTGCGTGTGTGCATGTGCGTGTGTGCATGTGCGTGTGTGCATGTGTGTGCGTGTGTGCATGTGTGTGTATGTGGCTGCAGCAGCGGCTTGGTGATGGTTATGTGCGAACCTGACATGCTGCTGTTTTGTTTCCATTCGCAGCGCGTGTGCCCGTTTGCAGCGGCCAAGTGGCAAGGGCCGGAGCAGTGGCAGCGGAAAGAACACTGGCACTATTGAGGGAGATGATGAGGATGTGGATGATGACGGTGATGATGGTGATGGTGATGGTGATGGTGATGGTGGTGATGATGATGATTCTCCGCCACGAAAGCGCCCGCACACCAGCAATGATGACGCTGATGGAGATGATACACCGAATAGCAGTGGCAACGGCAGGGGTGAGAACGGTACAGGCAAGCGGAAGCCCGGTATGGACGCCGCCAGCAGCAGCAGACGTGAAGATTCGACTGGCAAGGCTGGTGATGGCGGTGGCGATGCACACACGATTGTGTTCCTGGGCACGGGATCAGCAGAGCCGTCCAAGGTTGGTTGTCACGTGTTGACGAGCCCAATCCGATCTTTTGGAGGCGGGGGATTTGTCTCACTGCCGTTGATTGGTGTGTGGATACGAGTGTTTGGAAGCATTGTGTGAGTGCACTCACGACGTGTTTGAATGTATGTGTGCATGTGTTTGGCCAACAACGTTCTGTGGTGGGTTTGATGCTGCTCTCGCAGTACCGGGGCAGCAGCGGCATTGTTGTTGAGACCAAGAAGGGACACATGCTCCTTGACGCGGGCGCAGGCGTCTTCAATAGCATGGTGTGTTGCCTGCAAGCAAGCAGCACTGCTCTGAGATGCAATTCTCTGTGCGCCCTTTAACAACTGTCGCAACAGCGCTGTGCGAGGCTTGCGCCATCATTGTTCTCCAACCACCCACAACACCACTGCGCATGCCTTCTCCGCTGCTTGTCAGGTTCACCTGTACGGCCACACGGGCGCGGCGAGCCGGGTGTGCTGTGTACGCATGGTGTGGATCAGCCACAAGCATGCAGACCACGCCCTCGGCGTGCTTCGCATTGCTGAGGTCCGCGCTGCCCTGTCCGCCGTTCTCGACCCGCTTCTCATCGTCGTTCCGCACCAGATCAACGCCTGGCTCCACGAGGTGTGCGTGTGTGCGAATGTGCGTGCGTGTGCATGCGTATGGGTGTGCTTGTGTGTGTTTGTGTGTGCTTGTGCTTATGCGTGCGTGTGCATGTGTATGGGTGTGTATGGGTGCGTGCGTGTGCATGTGTTTGGGTGTGTGTGTGTGCTTGTGTGCTTGTGTGTGTGTGTGTGTCTGAGCCTTTGTTGTGTCTGCGTGTGTCGGGACTTCGCTCTTCATGCAGGTCACTGCATTTTGTTCCATTTTTCCGTTGTCGTCGTACAGACCCTCGTGAGCCGCCCGCTGCTGCGTCGCGCGTGCGAAATCGTCTCGTTTGAAGACTTGAGCAGTCGCTTCTTCACGTGAGTAGGCCGTGGTCTTGTGGTGGGCGCAGTGCACACAGCGCACAGCTGGCCGCTCGCACAGGTTGGTACGCAAGCAAGCACGCAAACAAACACCATTTGAATCCCTCACACGCAGCAACACGCCGTCTCACACTCAATTGTACCCCAATACACACAAACAAACAAACAAACAAACAAACAAACAAACAAACAAACAAACAAACAAACAAACAAACAAACAAACAAACAAACAAACAAACAAACAAACAAACAAACAAACAAACAAACAAACAAACAAACAAACAAACAAACAAACAAACAAACACCATGTGTTGTCCCACTGCAAAGGTTCAACGCCGTGCATGCGTTGGAGTTGTCTTCGTTTGCATCTGTCCGCGTGCAACACTGTGCAGATGCGCGCGCTGCTGTCATTCGCTGGCGTGATGGGTCCTCGCTCGCATACTCTGGCGATTGCCGTCCAAGCAAGGTGCTGTGCTGTTGCGTTGCGTGGTGGTGCTGCGTTGCGTGGTGGCGTGGCGTAGTGCGCCGCTTAGTGGTTGATATGTCGTGGCATGATGTGCACTGCAAGTTTGTGTACAGCACCGCGCTGTCCATGAGCATTTGCTGATTGCTTGACGCGGTGACTGACATTGCACTCGAATGGTTACGCATGCGTGTTCAGGCGTTTACAGCGGCTGCAACGGGCGTTGATGTGCTGGTGCATGAGGCGACGTTTGAGAGCGCACTGCACGACCACGCCTTGCGCAAGAACCACGCAACCGCCGACGAGGCTGTCGCTGTTGCCACGGATGCGCAGTGCAAGCACCTCATCCTCACCCACTTTTCGCAGAGGTGTGTGTGTCGCGTTTGCAAGCTTGTGGCTGCACACACACGACAGTCTGTCTTGCGTCTGACACGCCCCAAACATTAACACACCATCAGCCACGTACTCCCTGACGCCTTTGTACCGTTTTCACACACACACACACACACACACACACACACACACACACACACACACACACACACACACACACACACACACACACACACACACACACACACACACACACACACACGCACACACGCGCACGCACACACACACACACACGCACGCACGCACGCAGGTATCCGGTCACGCCCAGGTTTGAGCGGGTCGGCGCGGGCAGGACAGCGACAGTTGCGCACGACGGGCTGCACTGGACACCAGCAGCGGTGGCGATAACGTGCTTGCATGCACGCGACAGCGAGGTGGCAACACGATGTGAAGAGGTATAAGCGCAACAACACACGCAGTGCAGTGTTGCGGTGACTGAGTTGTAGGCTAGTTAGCTGGCTGACGTGCGATCAGAACACCAAGCGTCAAATATGTAACTGTGTATTGGTAGCGTGTATACAATGGGCAGGCAACAAGCAGAAAGAGGAAGAAAAGGCGTGTGCACCACATGCACGTGTACGCGTATGCATTCGTGTTCGCGTCAGCAAACATGCGTGTGGGGGGGGGGCAACTGAAGTATGGACGCATGAATCACACACACACACACACACACACACACACACACACACGCACACACACACACACACACACACACACACACACACACACACGTTCACACACACACATCAACGCATTGACAGTGCAACTAAAAGAAAAGGGGAAAATCGATAGCAGGGGGTATGTACATGCGTTGCAACAAGTGTTTGAGACAGAAGGGCAACGCAGATGAAAGAGAGGGAGAGTTTGCACTGCGGGCTTCAGTGCCGACAGCGCTTCCCAAAGAACAGACGGGGAGGCGAGTGCGCCTACAATGAAGAGTCTTGGCGGGCAAACCCTGTCACGCGCACGCCAGACCCCGCTGTTTGTTGTCGCTCAAACACGGGGTTGCTCGTGGTTGCTGTATCGGACGGTGCCTGGTGAGAATGAGCGATGCAGAGGGAACACATGAGTTGCCAATTCGTGAGAATACCAGAAAGTAAACACACATGAGAGGTCACAGGTGCACATGGGGGTCACAGATACACACGCGCGCACACACGCACACATACACAGACACAGACACAGACAACTGTGCAGAAACAGACACAGACACCTCTCCCATCCCCAACACACACACACACGCACGCTCTCACACAGACACACACACACAGACACACAGACACACAGACACACACACACACACAGACACAGACACACAGACACACACACACACACACACACACACACAAAGACGTGTCTTCCAGGTTGGAAACGCACCACAGCGAGCCTGGATGCTCTGCGGCTGTTGCGACGCGGAGGCTTGTCGTTCTTGTTTGCAGATGAGTGTGCACGCTTCCGTTGTTGCTCAACGTCTTCGTCATCGCCGTGATCCGGTGCCCCGCCTCGTCGCTTGTCATCCCGGCGTCGAGACATGATGAGGTGTGCCAACAGCAGCGCAAACAGCGCAGCCCCCACAACAATCACCACGAGTACCGCCTGTGACAGCGCCATGTCTTGCTCTCTTGTTTTCCCGAGTCAACAAACGAGGTCAAAAAACCAAAAAGGCCCGCCAATGAAAGGTTGCTGTCTCTCGCTGGCGGTGTTTGCTTGCGCTCGGTGCACGGAAGGAAGGACGACAAGTGAGGCTCGCTCGCTCGCTTGCTTGCTTGATGCACTGTGTGTGGTTAGTGCTGACGCTCGCTTCTTGTTGCCTTGCGCAGCGTGGTGGGAATAAGCCAGCTTGTTGCGAGTACGGAAATTTATGTACATCTCCCAATAAACGTAGGCAGGGAGAGGCAGGAGACGAGCGAAAGGAGCGAAAGGAGGGGAATGCACAAGCAGAGCAAGCAGGCAAGCCAGCAAGCAAGCACAACACACACACACACACACACACACACACACACACACACACACACACACACACACAAAATACACACATCATGTTGCGGATGACAGGTCAATGCCGGTGCAAGATGCCTGGAGATGTTCGATGGCAGTCTCCTTGAGTGTTAGCAGTTGAGATTCCAACGCAGCGGCGCTTGCAGCAAGCTCGGCGTGCTCGCTTTTCAGCCCATCAAGCAGCTTGGACAGGTGCGCCTCCTTCTGCACCTTGCGCTGCCGGCACGCGGCCGCTGCAATCCTGTTCTTCTCCCGCCGCAAGCGCTTCTTCTTCTCCGCAGGCGTCTCGTTGGGCGGCGGCGTTGGCCCGGCCGTGACTTGCGCGGCCCCGCCCGCTGCTCGCGTGCTTTTTCGCGCCTTTGTCGCTGCTGTAGAAGAGCCCTTGCCTTGCTTTGATCGCCCCGCGTTTGCCGTTGTCTTGGCGCGCTTGCTGCCACGCGTCCCAGTCATGCTCCTGGTTGTCGGTCTGCCTGATCGGCGTGCCGTCACTGTCGTGGCTGCGCCGGCCGCAGACCTCGCCGCAGGCGCCTTGCGCTTGGCATTCTCCCGCGCAAACATGGACGAGAACGGGTTGGCCTCAGTCACCGCAGTCGCAGGGGCAACGACAGCGCCGCTGCCATTGCTGTCAATGCTTCTGGACCGATTGACGTTGGCAAACGAGAGCGAGAAAGGGTTGGCCTCCATCTGCTGTACGGATGCACCGTTGCTGTTGCTGTTGCTGGCACCATCGCGCGGCGCCACTGTTGCTGTTGCTGTTGCTGTTGCTGTTGCTGTTGCTGACGATGACGATGATGCTTGGTTAGTGCTGTTGCGGTCGCTGCTGCTGCGGGCTGTGCTTGCGTTATCGGACGGTGTGGCGGCGGGAAGAAATGCTGACGATGGGGTTCCAAGGCCCATGCCAGGCGGCGTGAATCCCATGTTGACGAAGCTGAGCTCGGGCGAGACAATGGACACTGCCATCCCCTCGGACTTCCACACAGCTGCGCTCGGTGAGTTGATTGACGGCTTCCGGCCCATCATGCTTTGAAACTGGGGTGACCTCAGCACATGCATCGGCAGCGTGACTGTGATTGTGTGGATGTGTGTGTGTGAATGTGTGGATGTGTGTGTATGTGTTATATTGTGTGAGGATGTGCGAGAGGTGTGTGTGTGTGTGTGCGTGAAGATAATTTGTGCATGTAATTCATTGTGTGCGTGTGTGCGTGTGTGTGTGCGTGTGATAGCAATTGCGCGTGCGTGCGGGTGCGAGCACAGGTGAGTGGATGTGCAACGAGCTGTTGGCACACATTGTGGCACGGATTCGCAGCAACAGACTACACCATGCACAACAGCCACAGCGCAAACGACTACCAGCACGAAGCAAGCACAGCCACCCACGTACATGTGTGTGAGGTGGGTGGCGGAGGAGGCGGCGCTGTTGTTGAGGACGCCGACGCCTTTGTGGTGGTGTGCTGTGATGATGATGATGACGAGGAAATGGCTGGTGTTGGCGTTGGCAGCTTGATGGCTGTGTCGCTGCTGCTGTTCCCACTACTCGCCGCCGCCGTCGTCGTCGTCGTCGTTGGCGTCGGCGTGGCAGTCGCGCTACCCCGTGTTGTCGCCATTGCAAGGGGGAGGGGAGGCAGGTTGTTTAGCGGTGGTGGCTGCGAAGTAACGCAGCAGAGAGGCACAAGGTGGGCAGGCACAAGGTCGCGGACGATGTGTCTTTGTGGTTGTTGGCTGGCTGCCTCGTCTGCCTTCTTGCTTGTTGTGTCAGTTGTGCTGATGAGTCATCGATGTGGAGAAATGAGGGAAATGAAACAATTTGAGGGGCAGCGAAAATGAACGCATATCCGCATCGCACACCTCGCACGAACGAACACACAGCCAGCCAGTGGAACCACCACCACCCCAGCACCAACCCCAGCAGCGTGCAGTGTGACAACAGCTTTGCTGGCCCCAGCAGTGTGATCGATCAACCACCTCTCGTTCCTTGTCCTTTGAAACGCGGACGACCCTTCAAACGCCACAGCACACACACACACACACGCACACATTATCACATTCATTCACACACACACACACACACGCACACATTAACACATACCCAGACACAACCACCAACCATGAAGCTGAATGCAGACCTGATCCTCATGTCACCGCAGTTCACAAACCCGCTCAAGCAGCGGGAACTGGACTTGCGAGGTGCGCTTGCTTGCTTGTCGATGTGTACACGTGTGCGTTGTGTGCACGTGTGTGTGTGTGTGTGTGTGTGTGTGTGTTTGGGTACGTGCACGTGTGAGTGCGTGAACGTGGGTGTGGGTGTGGGTGAATGACACCCCCTCTCTTCTCCCTTCTCCCTGCCCTCTCCTCCGTGCTGTCTTCTCCGTACCCTCTGCTTTGTGCGTTGCACTGTTCTGGTTCCTGCAGTCTCCATGTCATGCCTGTGTGTTGTGGTTGCATGCAGCGCGCTCAAGCTTGTGTGTTTGATGCTGCTTTGCGTGCTTCTCTTCGACAGGCAACAAGATCCAGGTCATCGAGAATCTGGGTGCCACACTGGTACGTTTGTGTTCGCACACAACCGTATGCTCACTTACACACCCGCACACACACCCGCACACAACCAAGCGCGACCAACCACACCTCACACTGCAACCGTGATACGTCTGTGCTCATCCTTATGCATCCATGACGTGCACCTCACTCAACAGGATCAATTTGACACAATCGACTTTTCCGACAACGATATCCGATCCCTCGACGGCTTCCCACACCTCAAGCGCCTCAACACACTCCTCCTCAACAACAACAGAATCTTGTGAGTGGCGAATGAACATGTGTGTGTGTGTGTGTCCGGTTGCGCGTGTGAATGTGTGCGTGTATGCGTGAATGTTGTGTGTGTGTGTGTGTGTGTGCATGTGAGTGTGTGTGCGCGCAGGGGTACATGTCAAGCATGCAAAGCAGTGACCACGCCGTGTGCTCGCCCTTACGCTGCTTACATGCAATGGCACCAGGCGGGTGGCGCCGAAGCTGTCGGAGATGCTTCCCAACCTTGAAGCGGTCGTCCTCACAAACAACAGCATTGCCGAGCTCGGTGACCTCGAGCCCTTCTTCTCCTGCAAGAAAATCAACCACCTCACGTGCGTTCATATGTGTGCATGTGTATGTATGTGTGTGTGCTCGTGTGTGTATGTGCGTGTGTGTGCTCGTGTATGTGCGTGTGCTCGTATGTGCGTGTGCGTGTGTGTTTGGTTGTGAGTGTGTTTGGTTCTTTGAGTGTGTTTGTGGTGCAGGTCGTACCGTGTTCATTGCACCCACTCCTTCGAACGTCTGAAGCTGCGGTTGCTTCTCACCTTACGCTGTCTGTGCCGCTCGTCTGTCTCATCCACCCACCACCCACCATCCTCTCCCCTCCACTGCAGACTGCTGCGGAATCCTGTTGCAGCACAGGACAACTACCGCCTGTTTGTCATCTACCACATGCCAAACCTCAAAGTGCTCGACTTTGCCCGCGTCAGAGAAGAGGTCCGCGACACTCACAACACAACACAACACAACACAACACAACACAACACAACACAACACAACACAACACAACACAACACAACACAACACAACACAACAACACAGAATAACACAAACACAAACACAACACAACACAACACAACACAACACAGCCCACAAATTGTGCTGCTTGCTCACGACGCTGGTGGTGCTGGTGTGTACAGGAGCGCACACAAGCGCAGCGCCTCTTTGGTTCTGAGGACGGACAGGCCATGCTCAAGGACATTCTCTCACATGCAGCAAGGTGCGCTGTTACCTCTTTGCTGCAGCGTGCGCGTGTGTGTTTTGTTGTGTACAACTTGAGTGCTTGTCTTTTGTCGTACATGTCGTTGTCGCCAATTCCCCAGTACCGTTGCGAGTTGCATGCCATCTTACAATTGCACGCGTGTGCTCACCCGCTTCCACCACCACCCGCATCCACTATTTTCCGCTTCCCTCACTTCCCAATCCCCATCCACGTCCAATTGCTCTTCCTCCTCTCGTCACTGCCTGCAGGCACGAGGCCGAGGCTGTGCTGGCCGAGCAGGAGAAGCAGCGCAAGGAGGCGGCGGCCAAGGCGAAGGCTGCTGCTGCGAAGAAGATCCAGGCTGCGATTGCGCAGGCGGGCTCGCTCGAGGAGATTCAGAAGCTCGAGGCGCAACTACAGGCCGGCGTTGTCCCGGGCCAGGCAGAAGAAGATGCAGCCACCGAGCAGGCGTGATGGTCTGTTTGTTTGTCTGTTGTTTGCGTGTGTCTTTGTGTGTCTGTGTCTGTGTCTGTCTGTGTTTGTGTCGATGGCTGTGTCTGTGCGTGCGTGTGCGTGTCTAAGACCGTGTGTGCACACTGAGACCGACAGTGGTGTAGACATCATTTCCATGTGTTGCTCGTTGTTGCTTGTTGCTTGTGTGACACGAATGAAAGCCATGGCAAGACAAACAAGCTACGAAAAGGACGAGGAGAGAAGAGATGAAAAGTTGAGAAGGAAAAGAAACACACACACTCACACACACGCACGCACACGCACGCACACGCACACACACCAAACCACTCACAACACACGCACGCAATCACACCACACCACTCACACCAAACACAAACACACACCAAACAAAAAAGCAGTGCAAAACACGACACTGCACACAAAACAACGCACAACAAGACACAAGAGAGAGACAAAAGCCCGCACCGCACAACAGCAGACAGTGGTGGTGCTGGCTGGCGGTCAGCCGTGCAGATGCTTTCTTCAGAGCTGACGGAGACGGGCCCAGATACACCTGTGAATAGCACTCAAGCTACCAGCAAGCACACCCCCAACAACAGCAACAGCAGCAACAGCAGCAACGCGACAGCCGCTGTGTACACTGAAGACCACTTTTCAACAACACCACACGTCACCGCGCCAGGACACCAGCAGCAACACAGCGCTGTATTGTCAGGTGAGGACTCCCCCACCACCTCCACCAGTGCTGTCGACACTGCTGCCACAGGCTCACGGCAGCAGAAGCAGCACCAGTGCCAGCAGAACGCCTACGAGGACAAGGCGAGCGCTGGTGGAGTGTGGGAGCTGTGTCGAATTGCTTCCCGTACCAGCAGTAGCAGCGCCGCGCCACAACGAAGCTCAGCTGCTTCCAACGGGACTCGCGCCTCTTCCACACGTGAAAGGCGACCGTCATCAAGCACCTCGACACCTGACGACTACGATTACGACTACATCACCTTTGCCGGAGACACCTTTCTCTTCGTGTCCTCTGCAACACCGTTTGGCTCCTCCTTCAGCCGCGCAAAGGGCGGGAACCGAGCCACGAGCCACCGCGCGCCTCCTGCAATCCCAACACCGACATCCATTTGGGCGTCCCACTTTGGCCGCAAGAGCATCACCAGCGCGATGTCCACGCAGCAAGCGCCCAGCGACGCTGTATCGGCTGCCCTGCAATCAAGTGTGAGCGAGAGCGCCGCAAGCAATGGGGGTGCAGCAAACACTGGCGATAGCGCCAGGAACCCCAAAGACACAGGCACAGCTGGCGACAGTGGCAGCCATGGCGACGACCACCACGACGGCGATGCACGCAAGCAAGAAGCAGGCCAGCACACCGGCGCTGGTGGTGGTGGGGATGGCGATGGTGGTGGGGATGAGGACGACAGCAAAGACGACACTGATGAAGAAGATGGTGATGACGACGAGGAGGACGACGAGGACGACGAGGAAGAGGAGGATGTGGTGGAGGGGACAGGGAGCGGAAACAGGAGGACAACAGCAGCAACGGCTGTCGATGAAGGCACGGAGACAGCAGGCCCGACAGAACACAAAGACGCTAAGCAGTCCAGCCCGAATGATTCCGTCAGCGCTCGTGGCGACGACAACAACCAACCCAGCTCTCAACCCTCAAGCCAGGACCTTGGCGGCACACCCAGCGACGCTAACCCGAGCCAGCCAACATCCTCCCAAGCCTCCTCCGCCTCTTCCTCAGCACCAGCACCAGCACCAGCGTCGACAGCAGCAGCAACACAATCGTCACAAACCGCAACCGGTGGCTGCAGCACACCACCCGCAGCATCACGACTGAGCTCGCCATCCATCTCCGCACAGCTGTTGTCAGTGCTGTTCACGCCTCAGTCTACAGCAAGCAGAGCGTCGCCAGCAGCGTCACGCAGCAGCAGCGGCCACCCAGACACCGGCGCATATCCTGCCCATACGCCCCCATCTCGCACCCCTGGACAACTGCTGCTGTCCACAGAGCCCCTGCATCGCACGTGCACGCTCTGCGGCAAGCCGTCCAAGCCGGCGCGGTGCCACCCAACCTTGCGTGTGCTGCTGTGCGACGAGTGCAACACGCGCATCCGCTCAAAGCAGCGCAAGCGGCTGAAGAGGACTGGCTGGCGCTACACCGTGTGCGCCTGGTGCAACACGCGCGTGGGCCTGCTACCGTGCGGCAGCAGCAAGAACACCGACCCATACAGCCCAGAGTTCTGCCCATACATGTTCTGCTCGCTGTGCCTGCACCGGCACGTGGGGCCCTCGTATGCAGCACGCGCGCAGCAGGGCGTGTGGTGGCGCTGCCCCGTGTGCGATCCTGCGCCCATTGCTGGCCTGATCAAGGCGTGCGAGAAGGCGCAGAAGGAGGATGGGACATACGAGCCGCTGACGCCTTTGAAGCTTCCACCACTCCCAGGACAACCCAGGCGACGGAAGAAGACACCACACAAGACACCGCAGACGAAGACACCACGCGCCAAGACGCCACGTAAGCCATCGTCATCAACAAGGGGAAGGAAGCGTGGGCAGGCCTCCGGTGCCACCACAACAACCAGCAGCAGCAGCAACAGCAACAGCAACAGCAACAGCAACAGCAACAGCAGCAGCAGCAGGAAGAAACGTGTGGCAAGGCAGGCAAGGGGGAAACAAACACGCCCCGGGCCACGCAAGACCCAACCGAAACAGCAGCGAACACGGGACGCCTTGACAGCCGCTGCAGTGACAGTGAGCGATGGGCCCGTGCGCCAAAGCCCGCGCATCCGCAATCAGCTGTTGCGGCGCCAACACCATCAACAGCAACAGAGCGCAGCGCAAGCAAGAAGGGCGAGGGCGCGCTACGGAGGTGATGTTGATGACTTCGTTGTCGACGACGACGATGATGATGATGGCGATGCTGCTGATGATGACTCAGATTTGGACGTGAGCTCGAGTAGCGACTGGTCGCTGGACGATGACGAAGAGGAAGAAGAGGAGGATGCCGGTATGATCAGAGGCAGCCGGCGCGCGAAGCGTCTGGCGCAGCAGCTGCAGTTGGAGGCGCAGCAGGTCACCGGTGGGGACGCGGATGGTGCCACCAGCTCAGCCGCCAGCACCACCGCAGCGATAGCCACACAGAAGGAGCACAAGAAGAAGAAGATGATGATGATGATGACGAAGGCGAAGGCGAAGGCGAAGAGCAGGGAGAAGCACGCTGCACAGGCAGCACCACCCTTGCAGCTTGCTGTCAATGGCAGCGTTGATGATGACAGTGACGGTGACGATGATGCACTGGGGTTTGATGGTGACTTCTTTAACGATGATGATGCCGCAAACTACGGGATCGAGCCATCTCCAATAGCCGAGTCCTCCGGTGGGGCCGAATCGTCGGCGCTCCCGTCAAAGCGCGCGAAAACAGCGGCGCTGTCCGCCAAGCAGCAGCAGCAGCAGCAGCAGCAGCAGCAGCAGCAGCAGCAGCAGCAGCAGCAGCGGGGTAAGAAACATCAAAACAAGAAGACGATGTCGGAGGAGAAGAAGAAAAAGAAGAGCAGAGTTGCCACCGCTTCAGCCAAGAAGGCAACGCCAGCAGCGCCAGCAACAACAACGATGACGACGAAAGCGCGGGGACGAAGCCGGGCGTCAACGTGGATGATGACGCAGCGGTACGTGGCGATGGCGACTGCAACCAAGGGGAGCGGGCGCGCCGAGCAGCCCACGCTGCTGATGCAAGGCAGTGGGGGTGCTGGTGTTGTGGGCAACGATGAAGAGGGCGAAGAGACGGCCGGCGTGTCGACACCTGCGGTGAAGAAGCGGGGCA